TCTGGCATCAATCAAAATCTAGTGTTCATGCAGTGAAACGATAACGTTAGTTGGCTTGAATTGCAGTGATGGCTATTGCTTAGAAATGTTGAGCAATACAGATTAAAAAGCAGTCAAGTTCCATCTACAATATATTGTGCATTTAATGCCTTATGAAACGATATATGCCTATATATTATGCTAACATTATCATGGCAAGTCACTAGTAAACCTTTTATAAACTTACCAGCGTATTGATAAGGCCTGTATATGGATTTGTGGAGAAAGGGCGATTATTTAAACTGACAATTAGGCAAATTACCTACCAGTGGAAAGAAGAAGAAAAAAAACTAGGAATGGAAATAGAGACAATATCTGATCACGTAATCAGCAACTTCAGTCTATAATAAGTGATGATCAGTGTATTGTCTGGTTAATTTTTAACTTCTAGTCAGGTGGGTCCCTTCACCATTAAAGTGAAGGGACCACTGAACTCTTTCTGTCAACCATGTTCAAATGAGATATGAATTTAGATGCTAAGAGTAAAAGTACAGCCTTTTATGTCCAACTATTGAAAATGAAATACCTACAAACAAAAGACCATACTTGTGTCACATGGATCTGTGGATCAGATTCCTACAGAGCCCTTCTGACTGACCATATGTTGTCTGAAACAACAGTATTTATAGACAAGAACAACAGTTCCTATATTCTACACCAGAAAAGAAATCTAGCAGCAGATCTTGGTACCTCTCATTATCTGGACACCAAAAGGAACAATAGCAAGATACTTGAAATAAAAGCAACAGGTGTACCTGTATTAAATATTACGTGTTTGTACACAGTAAGAAATAAATGTAAGCAGGGGAAAAAAATCTAACAGTGTGAACCAGTTTTATGCATTTGATCAACATTATCTCAGCTTGTACTCTTAGTTCTCACCTTCAGGTCTCTGTGGATGAAGTTATTGGAGTGAATACACTCGACTCCGCTGACTATCTGCTGGACAATGGGTACACTTTCTGCCCTTCTCTTAGACTCTTGTGGAGATTCCATGTTCTTCTCATTTATCCAGTCTTTGAGTGTTCTGGTGTCACACAACTCCATCTTAATATAGAGGTACTTTTGTGATGAATTACTATTAGACCTAGAAAAACAAGATTAGAATTCTAGTATATGATATGATATGATATGATATGATATGGGTAGCACAGCAAAGACCTAAACAAGCAGATGAGACTTACTGGGAAGTGCTGTAACTGTCAGTTGTATTGTCCCATTGGTAATCTGAATCTTCCAGCCAACAATTATAGTATCTAACTATATTACAATGGAGGATTTTTTCTAGTGCGCCCACCTCTCGTAGAGCTTTTCTGATCAGGAAGGGAAAAAGATTAATTTAATAAATTTATTTTTTATTATTATTTTATAGATACATGCACAAACATGCAGCAGTGCACATTGAAAACGTGCACACCAAACCTGACTTACTCTTTACAGCGGACGATCTTCACAGCATAATACTGGTCCACCAGTTTTTCTCTTGCTTTGTAAACACGACCAAAACCGCCTTTAGCAAGACACTGTATGGTATCAAAGTCTGAAGAAAACCTGTTAAGATTAACACAATCATTCAGGAAAATATATTCAGGCAAAATGAAACTGATGTAGAAACATAAAAGGGCTAGGCGGGCATGGCTCCAATCTCTAAACAATCTACCAACAGAAATACAACAAGAAAAACAATTTAATTAACAATACTTATCTAACAAGCACAGAATCAAAAACTAATAGACATTAACTAATAACAAACTAAAGGTGCTCAGTCAGAAAATAACTGAATGAAAAATAAAGGCAGACTTGGCAAAAGAGTTTTGAAAACTTGTGCAAGTTCACTTCACACATGCTAAAATGAGCTAGTTCACGTGCATAGTTAATGATTTAAAACTAAGTTCACACTGCCAATATATAAACTATTTCATGTTTATTTCTTCCATTAAAACTTTTTTTAAATGAGCTGTTCTGAGCAGTAGAAAACATTTTTTCAGTAGAACCTCCTCGTGCCCACCCATTCCCAGCCCCCAGTCATTCATGTGCATTCATATAAGTTCAGAGTTGGAAAGTAACTATAATTACTTAAGCACAGCTTTGAGGTATTTCTGGCATGTAACTAGAAACAAAACTACTTGACCAGAAACTTGAGACCTTACTTAAACGTGAGTACGCAGTTCATTTGCCAGGAAGGAAAAAGAAGGAAAGTTCTAAACATGGTGACATGAGGGGATGACTCAGTCTAGCAACGTGGAAAAACAAAAACCAAACATGGATACAGCTACATACAGGTAGTCGCACAGAAGATTTGGCTTACATACAGTCACTAACCACAAACAGGTAAAACTATTCAGGGCAGATAATGAGTGAGGTAAATTTAGAAACAAAAGCAAAGTGAATCTTTTTTCATACCGTGACTGGGTTGAGGTATCACTTGGTCCGCTTTTAACAGTTTTGTTTTTGACAGCATCCTGAAAGAATGAAATAAAGACATGGATTTAAAAGGCTGAATATTCCAACTAGATGAATATAAATAATTCATTTTTAATGGCTAACTGGCCATTTCAACCTTGCTAAAAAAGCCAAGACAGTATGAGATAGTACATTATTTTGAGCACAGTAACAGACCTGATCCTTGGAAGAGCTTGATGAATTTGTGAAGATTACAGAGTCGCTAGTACCAGCTTGCATGCTCTGTGATGATGCCTCGAGGGACTCGCTTGGAGAATACAATAAGGTACATGAGTACAGTTTCCTTTGTATTGACCTTAACAATATCCTTTAATTCTATCAGTAAGCGCCTTACAGTGAAGATGGTGTTGACAAACTGGGTGGTGGAGTGTCTACAGACACAGCTGACCTTTGGGGCACCTAAAATGCAAAAATACATAAATGAAAGTCTGCTATTACAGGGTAGCATATCTCAAAGAAGATTATCCACCCTGTTGTATCACTGCTTAACTTCAGCTCAGAACAATTTTTATGTTTTTCTTGCAAACTAGCTGGTCTTAGGGTCTAGTGTCCCTTCTGTTAATACAAGTCAGTATTTCTCACTAGAGCTGCAGTTTTCTCTTATTAATGTGTCAGCACAAAAACGTCAACCTGTCTGGACTAACATTACTAGACAACAAATCTCTGCATATCTATCTAACTAAAAAATAACCTAACAACAGACACAGCTGACCTTTGGGGCACCTAAAATGCAAAAATACATAAATGAAAGTCTGCTATTACAGGGTAGCATATCTCAAAGAAGATTATCCACCCTGTTGTATCACTGCTTAACTTCAGCTCAGAACAATTTTTATGTTTTTCTTGCAAACTAGCTGGTCTTAGGGTCTAGTGTCCCTTCTGTTAATACAAGTCAGTATTTCTCACTAGAGCTGCAGTTTTCTCTTATTAATGTGTCAGCACAAAAACAAAAAGAGCATTGCTGGCTTAAATGTTTTATGATTAGGGTTGTCTGCCAACATGATCTGCAACATTTTTTGAAATGATTCCTTTTCTTGCAGTTGTGGCACAGCTGTCCAAAAGCTGGACATTTTTCTTTCTTTGCCATGTGACTGTTTCCACAGTTTTTGCAATTTGCTATGATGGGTGCATCATTTTGTTCCATTTGGGGCTTTTGTCTAGTGTAATGGTGCCTGCTGGAAACTGGATGTATTGCATCTACATTGGTGGGCATCTGCGGCACCGCCAATGTTTTATTGTTTTCCTCAGTCAATTCGTGTATATGACATATTGAGATGGCTTTTGTCAGGGTTAGATCGCTGTCCCTTAACAGTGCTTTCCTTAAGCTTTCACTGTTGATGCCACATATTATCCTGTCACAGATTAACTCATCAGTCAATTCTCCAAAATGGCATGCTTTTGCTTTAATCCTGAGATCAGTGATAAACGATTCAATAGTCTCACCCTGTTTCTGGTTTCTGGAGTGAAACTTGTGTCTCTCCATGGTTTTGTTTGGTTGAGGGTTGTAAATTTCATGAAACTTCCTTTTCAGGCATTCGGGATCCTCTCTTGATTCCGAGGGAGATAAAACAGCGCCATCCTCACCCGGTGCACGCACTTCTGCTGCATAGACGAAAGAACAGTCTCATTCTATGGCCTCTGGCCCTGCGAGATTGAGGAAGATATAGGCCTGTCTCCTGGCAGGTTTAATATGGTGCGCTCCCTTCACCTTCGGGATAGGTTACACCATCTAGTACTACCTTCTGGGTGAATCTGTAGAGGAATGGACAGATCTTTGTTGTACAGACATACTGACTTGAATTGATCATAGTGGGGTGGGTGAACTATGTGAATATGCACACTATCATTTTCAGCCTGTAGGAGGCAATGTTCGAACTCCAGGAACTGACACAACCTTTTACACTGCCTACAATCAAAGGCTGAAATTTACAGTTCAACCTGTGGGTTTTTTCAGACACTTTACTTTTAGGTATTGGTCCTCAAGTCTTCCCATTTTGTACAACTTCATATCTCTGCTATTACTTTTACCTGGTCACAAATTTAATATTCACTTTATAAAGGAAGATTTTACAGAACATGGGGCAAATTGATCCAGAGCTATGCAACAGGTTATTCCACCCATATTACCTGCTGCATTAACGTGTAAGAGAAAAATCTATCCCTTATTGTGTCATTAAAAGAGTCAAATGTGTGAGTTGATACATTAGTTGTATGACATGACTTAATCTAGGCTCACCAGTCCTACTAAATAATGATGATTAGCTGATTTTTGTGGTTATTAGGCCAGTGAACCACCACCACTCACCCATGCAACCCTTTACAAATCTCTCCCACACAAATGTCCTCCTTGGTGGAGCGCAAACACGGCAGATTAACAAAGGGAGGTAGGCTACAAGGTACCACAAATGTTTTCAAGTCACGTTTTCATATGGTCAGGGTCAACACCGTCTAGGTCCTCATAACACAGCTTCAACTTGTTTTTCTGTGCATATTGGTTTAGATCAGCGACGTAGTTTGTACCTTCCATCTTAATTTTGCTCTGTTCTCTGTTCAGTGCTCACTCAAGGGGGGCCGAACTCCAACTGCAGTTACAATAGCAACAATTTGCTGCTCCCACTGTGTGAGTGCGTGCACCCATAGCTACTGCTAGCTGTGAGAGGGCGCTAAATTTTGAACGTGGGTATATGCATTGTGTCATGTACAAATTACAGACCTGTTCCTTTACTTAGCTTTTGGACAAGTAAGCATCGAGTTGTTAGTGGCCTGACGCGGCCTCTAGTGAGAAACTGGCAAATCTTTTAAAACTACTTCTGCCTGAAATATACATATCAATATTTCTGGAATTTCTAACCCTTTATATGCCAGTATGTTGTCATAACCCCTCTTTTTTTCAATGGGAAAAAACAAAAAAAATGAAATAATAATTTAAAAAAAGCATTTCAACCAGTATGATGATGATGATGATGATTATATATTTTTATTAGGCCCTGGGATGGGTCAATGATTGGCACCAACGTTGATTTTGATGCATTACATAAATTCACACACATACACACCCAGACATAATGCACTGCTATAACATCAAATGCTATTTTTGATGCCATATTTATTGGCACTATTGCTGAGGAGATGCAGAAAGACTTCAGTCCAACAGCCTACATCTCATTCTGTCTCATTCTCACTGGACATTATAATAGGTAACCCTGCTAATGACCCTTCCCTGTTAGTTTCTCTTCCCCTTCCAGAAAAGCAACTATTAATGTGATAGCTATTTGGGAGATGAGCCCAATGCTCAATGAAAATCATTAATTCTGAGGCATGTGGTGAATAATAACAGACAAAACAGATAGACACTAAAAGCATGCTGGGACAGCTGTGTGATGGAGCGATCTCCACATGCAAATATAAACTTACAGTAAATAATGATGCAGGTTCATGCACATGCGCATACAAAAAGTGAAAGGAATAAAGAGAGAGATGGCAGTTACTTTATTATTATTGCTTTATATTCCATTACCCTTGGCACAGTGCAGACATTATAGTCCTGAACCTTATAGCACCGCCTGCTGCACACAAACAAAACAAAACAAATGATAGCTAGAAGGATGGGCTTTCTCTTCAATGAAATTAAGGGTTCGGCCGGTTTTGTGACAGTAGTGGTCAACTATTCCAATAAAGTTTGACCCTTAGATGAAAATATTTTTGGCCCCCTGTTATAGCCAGATGAAAATATTTTTGGCCCCCTGTTACAGCCATATGTTATTGTGTAATCAGTTAAGTTTTCTTTAGGCTTCATCTCAGAAAGGACAGCTGCTGCCATTGTTGACCTGAAGGACACCTACAGTAAAACAAACAAAATAAGTACCATTATTACATATAAGTACATCAGGCTTATACAGTGGCGACTATGTTCACCTCAAGTGGTAAATTTGAGGGCTGACTACAAGCGTAAGGAAAACTATGTAGTCTACATTCTTCTTCTAGAGTAATACAAAAAAACTGTATACGTGATGATAAAAAGGGAATAGAAAATATGAATACTATGCATGTTGACCATCTACTAAAGTGACATTCTAAAAGTATATTTTGACATAAAAGATCATTAAATATTAAATACCTTGCTGTCCCAGTCCGACTGTTCTTGAAGCGCAGACCAGGCCAGCTCAGCTGCATTTTGTTTGGCTTCTTTGACACTCTTACCCTCAGCCACGGGGTATTCCTTATTGTTGATCACTAGTTTGTAGAAAAATCTGTGTAGGCAGAGAGAAAATATAAAGATTTCAATAATGTAAAATGCTTCCCCTATATGCAATCAAACTGAAGGAGTGCTGCTGCTGGAATTTTATATATTATATTCATTTTATATACAGTCGACAGAAAGTAAGGCTCGCTACTCACTTCCTCTCTGTCATTCACACACTGACAACAGATGAATGCCCACACCTCCATTCATACACAGGCACGCATACAAACTCCTCACTGAGTACACCCAAACTTCACTCCTACAACTGTTTTAATACTGCAGCTGGTAAAGTTGGAGCTCAGTCTATTTTAACTACCTTATATGCTGTTTTGATAATCATGTTTTGATTCTAATAATTATTTGAGTGACTTTACATACTGCTGGGTAGCTTGTGAATTTTTCCACAGGGGATCAATAAAGTTTTATGATTATACTGTAGTCTGTTCTGTTTTATTAATCTGATTCTGAATAGTAACTAGTAACTAAAGTGATCCAATCAATGTAGTGGAGTTAAAAGTACAATATTTACCTCAGACATGTAGTTACTTTGGAATATGAAGTAGCAGAAAATGAAAATGCTCAAGAAAAGTACAATACTTCAAAAATGTGCTTATGTACAGTACTTGAGTAGATGTACTTTCCACCACTGACCTCCAGTGCCAAAGTGTCAAAAGCTCCCAGTCAATTAACACACATGGCAAGGCGAGTATAAATAAATCCTAACAGTTCTAAGGTGATTTTAAGTAATTCCCCCACCAACAAGTCTAAATGTAGGTACGGCATCGCTCGACGATGTGTGAAAAACGACCCCACTGCTGAAAAAAAAATCTAGGTGAAACACTGATGAATTCACTCTTTTAATCGAACGTTAGCACAGTGTGATGTTGTTTATATTCAGGTTACAGAGGTTCAGTCATACTTACTGAGGGTTATGTGATGGACCGCTTCGTTTCTCTTCAATGAAATTAAGGGTTCGGACGGTTTTCTGACAGTAGTGGTCAACTGTTCCAATAAAGTTTGGCCCTCTATATTTGCGGTTGTTAGGTGTCACCCCCAACATCTGACATACAACCTTGGCTGCTTCCTCCTTAGCTTCTTTCTTTGTTTTCCCACAGGCAGCTGGGTACTCCTTATTGCCTACTGTGAAGCTACAGGACTTTCTGTAACATCACAGAAACCAATTTAATTCACCTTCAAAGGGTGACAAAACTGACATTAAACTATTTTCAATGCAGTGTGGATGCTTACACAAAGGCATTTGATTCCACTCTTATTGACTCCTTAGCCCTTACTGTGACCTTGTTCTTAATCCTATATAGCACATTTAACACAGCAACAGCTGACCAAAGTGCTTAACACCAAACACAATAATAAAACAAAATTGCAATTAAACAACCACCCATCATAAAAAAAAAAATCCTCAGCACAACAAAGCCTCAAAACAGGTCATCTTCCATAAAGTAAGTGGGCTCTGTGTGGATTACTGGATTCATTTTTTCTGCTTGAACACAAACCATCTTTGTCTTTAGTTCACTTGCCTCAGCTGCATTCTGTTTGGCTTCCTTCTTAGTCTTCCCCTCACCGGTGGCACAGGTTTTACCATTCAGACCTGCTCTTATGGTATATCTGACGTGGAATTGTCAAAGGTTTTGTTAGACAGGTAAGATGATTTGTGGTTGGGTAAGCTACATAAAAACACAATCCATCACCAATGAATGTAGCTATTAACTTAGGCCTATCAGTGTGATGACCACAGCAAATGAGCAATTAATCATTTAATTTTAGGACATTATTTGACTGTATGGTTTCTTGCTCCCATGCAGCATACATTTTCTGTTATATTCTTATATATTGTTTATTATATTGCCGATTAAAGTGCCTTAGATTTTGTGTTACTTATTTATCTACTTTATATTTCATTTGTATTTTGTGGCATTCATGTGGACAGCAAAGTAAGAATTTCATTGTACAGGGAAACACGTTTCCTAACTGTGCATATGACAAATAAACACTTTGAACTTTGAACTTGAACTCTTGGTAAAATACTGTGAATGTTTGTTTGTCTTCCATTAGGCGCCTGTGGTAGTACTGAACAACGTTACTGAACAAAGAATGTACATGTCCAAACATGTCAGGACACCAGGAAGCTGATTATTCAGTCCGCCATGTTGGTCACAAATTGGCCCTACACGTGCGGAGCGTCCCCGTCGGGCCGCGTCCTGCGTACAGGTGAGATGCGGCAGCGTAGGAGACGGCAGGTGTCGACGTGACAGGGGAAGGGAGCTAGACGCAAATGTGTGGCCTTATAGTGAATGCTCAAAGCATTCTCCACATTTAAGAAGTACTTATTTGATTAGTATTAGTTTAAATAAATGTGCAATTAATAATAACAATAATAATAAATGAAAACCTTGTGGAGGTATGTAGGCTGTTATTGTACTATTATACTACAGGCTATAGTATATAGATGGTAAGTTAAATCAACTTAAAAGTAAAGCAAGTTAATTTCTGGTAAGGCTTTATCGTTACTGTAGCTGTTTTTCTGTAGGCAGCTTAGGCTATTGATAATATTCAACCACCACCACCCCGATTGACATTATCGCTAGCCAACAAAATCTTATTCACCTTTCTCTAGATTAATCACGGCTACGACAGAACAAGACTCGTTAATGTGCAAAGCTAACATCATGTGTAGAGATGATCAAAATCTTGTACAACTTACGTTTTATTATGGGAAGGATCTTCAGAGCTAATGTCTTCAAATGTCAGCTCCGACCGTGTTTTCTGTGCATGCTCGTATAATTTAGTTACGTTATCCATTGCCTTCGCAAACGACGAAGCGTTTGACATAAAATGACCTAAAGCTGCTAAAATAAAGTTCAAGCCTACCAAATTATTATATTTTCCATTTTCATTCTAGCTTTGCTGCCACCTCACTCTCGTGACTTCAGGCGCCTACTGTAAGTTTCGATTTCTCCTTAAGTTCACAACTTTATTATCCATTACACAACGACACGGAAACTGGGAACGGTTCAACCCCTTTACTGAAGTGAATTTTGGTAAAACGAGATGGCACGTGTTGTTCACAATTATTTAAATACAACATTTCCTCTAGGAGTCTTTCTCTTGCAGCCTTAACACCCACATTTTATGGTGCTGATGTCTGTTCTTATTATTGTGCAGCTCAAGCAAATGAATCATGACACAGCAGTGATTCTGTGTAATTTGCTCACTGTGCACATATTCCGATGTTTTGGGGCCCTTATAAGATGCAAGTACTTGTGTGAGCTGAACAACTTTCTGCAGACACTCCACATTTAACTTATTGCCAAGAGACATAATCAAAGCCTCAAACCTAAACCCAATTTTTCTTTTTATTTGGAAAAGTGTATACACAGGATCCAGCTCTCACCTTCTGTAAATCACATCAAACTTGTCTCCTTAATCAAACTCTGTGGGGCAACCAGGGCCAGCTCTGCATGGTCTCATTTCATATTTACAGTAAACACAGGCAGAAACTAAACTAAAATACTTTAGATGATTATTATCCATTGTGCATCATGATTCCTTGCACTGCTTCCCTTCCTTATTCTCTCCCTCCTTGCCATCTTTGGCATTGACCCCTGGGACACATAACCATGGTTTGGACTTCTCTAATATCAGTAACAATTAGTTATAATATTGTTATATGTCAGTAAAATAATACACACACACATAGCTTCACACTAAATATTTGCATGTAGAAAACAAAATATTTCACCTTAATAACATATCAGTAATGAACATCACCTTTTTGCCTTGTGGTGCTAGGAGGAAATCTAGTCTCTCAGATTCAGCTCTTTATCAATATATTCAAGCAAACCTACAACTTATCCATTTTCAAACTCTGTATATTGAGTCTATTGAACTCAGCACCTTTAGTCATAATAACTGAAGAAAAAAAATGGATAAGTGTCACGGTCTCCTTTTTATTTGAATAGGCTGATTTGTCTTAATGAAATGTTAAACACAAACTGGGTGTAAAATTACCAAATCTGCCATACTGCATACCACACACATGAATGTCACTAAAATTTACTCATTACACTGTTCAACACTTTGTCACATTGTGACAAGAAGTCATGTTTCAGTCATTTAGTGACATCTAGAAAAACTGTTTCATTGTCTTGTACAAGACTGTACAGAAAGTCAGAAAGTATGAAACCCCTTTTTATACATTTACCTTTTCCAGGATAGAATCAATTCTTTGACAAAATAATTATCAGAGGAATGCATAATTATTAAAAGCGAATAATGGAATAAATTTAATATCATGTTTTATTCACTGATTATAAAAAGTGAATGAGTTTATGGGCATTTTTCCATCAAATATCACATAATCATGATTAATAATGTTACATCATGAAAACAATATTTAAAGAAGGAGTTCTCATAGCACTCAAAACATCCAGCCACAAGTATTTGATACTAAATTCTGTGGATCGTCATGCTTGGGGTGACTCGTGTGTTTTTTCCTTCTGTCTTGAATAAGTTCCTGTAATAATCAGACAGTCCTACTCTCTCGATCTTTATTTTTTAGCATCTGAAGTGCATTAGCACACTCGTCCAGTTCTCTCTTTACTTTGCTTGCTTCAGGTCGATCTTCTGGCTTCACGTGCAGCATTGACTTTATTATTTGGTTCTGCAATGAAACAACAAAATTAGAAAATGTGATAATATTTAAAAAAAATGCTGTCACTGATTGTAAAGCTCCAATCTACAGTATTTCCAATATTTTACACCCCCTCCAGCCAATAATAGCCCTCCTTGATTTTTTTTTACAACTCACATACATACATTGCCAATGCCTGTTCTGACTCTTCATCTTTTGAGGCTCTACAAATGGTTGACTGATGTAACAGTGCAAATCCCTGTACCTCAAGCCCACTTCTTTCCTGCTGTGGACTATTACAAGTGACAGCCACCCTGTGAGAAATACAGTTTCATGCTGTGAGAAAATGCTCAGAATGCTGATATACCTCTTGGGGGAAATAGTGTGAAACCCCTTGAGGAAGTTTCTGGTTTCTGGCGTCATCCCAAATCTGGCATTTATGAAAAAAGGGAGAAAGATTATGTAATTGACTTCACAAAAAAAGGTGTCCAACAATGATCTGTTGAAATTTTATAAATAAGATTAAACTAAAATATAATCGCTCCAGTTACCTCTAGTATCTGAAACCTGGTACTGTACCAATGTTTGGCACGGTCTCAAAACAATTATTAAACATATGTTATTGATATTTACAGCAGGATTTTGGATTGTGTTTCAGAAAAACTCACCACTTTCCTGTCAGAGCCAGCAGGGAGGTTCCAAAGAAGTTCAAAATATATCAGCCCTAAAGCAAATATGTCCACTTTTCGGTCATAAATGCTCTTGCTCTTCTGTCATAAAACAAGAAAACAATATATGTGCCGTGAAAGCTGCAGTGGTTCTCTTCTTCTCTTAACTGTGGTGATTAAAGAGAATTCACTTTGCTTCATTCTTCATGACCCCCAGAAGCTGTATGTAATAACTGTATTACTTCTTAAACAAAGCTGGGATGTTACTCAAAGGAACATCATTCAGAGCAGCCGAAGACGTGGAGCTGCTCCGGCAGAGCATGTAAGCCTTGGATATGTGGTCTACAACTCAAATAGTCTCTGTTTGAACATAGGCAGGTGTTCCGTGCCAGGGCATGTGGGACATTCATCGCTGAGTGTGACCTTTTTGATATAAAGCAGCTTATCACTGACAGTCAGGAGGATTGAAACAAAGTGCTGCACATCATCATTAGTGTTAAACACAGGGCACCTTTAATGAGTCTCCCTGCTAAAGTTAATGTTAGTTTAAACCATCTTACTTGCTCAGGAGCCATATACGAAGGGGTTCCTTTGTACACTGTTCTCTCTAACAGGTTCTCAGCATCATCATTATTCTCGGCAGTGACCAGACCAAAGTCCCCAATCTTCACTTCTCCATCCCGCCCAAACATGATGTTGGCAGGCTAATCAGATGAAAAAAAACAAGCATGTAGCTTCATGGCTGATGTAATGTAAACGATGACTATACCACTTCGTCTCACCTTCAGGTCTCTGTGGATGAGCATCTTGGAGTGAATGTACTCGACTCCACTGACTATTTGCTGAGCAATGTCGAGACTTTTTTCTCTTCTCTTGGAGTTTCGCAGAGATTTCTTCACATTCTGAGTATTCTTCTCATCTATCCACACTCTAAGTGTTTTGGTGTCACACAGCTCCATCTGAATGTAGAGGTATTTTACAACTGAATCACTGGAAGACCTAAAATGTAAGAAAACTTAAAACATTATGAAATGACATGCCTTCATGTCTGGTAAGTTTCACATACAGTGACTTAGCTTGACTAAACTGCAGCAATACCATGACCATAGCAAGCACGCCTGCAGCTGCATGCTGTGCCATTTTATTAGGCACTTCAAAATGCACCTAGACAGGTCAGTCAGTCACTTGGTAATGTGAAAGACAAGTTAATGTTAGCGAACATATTAGCTCAGCTTCAGCTATCTATGTTAGCTTGGTACTGGCTTTGTAGCTAAGGAACATTTACTTAATAGACTGGTTTGCTGAATGTAAAGAACTTGAGACTTGACTTGGACTTGACCAGAGGCCTGAAACTCTACTTGGACTTGCAAAAAATGACTTGTGAGTATCTTTGTTGTACAAAAAGGAATTTAGTATATGGATGAGACTTACTGGGAAGTACTGGAACTGTCAGGTGCACTGTCCCATTGATATCCTCCATCCTCCATCCAACATGTGAAGTATCGAATAATATTGCAATGTTGGAGGTCTGATAATGCTGCCACCTCTCGTAGAGATTTTCTGATCCAAAGGAGGACAAGAATATGACTCAGGTGATAAAACTTTCAGCTTCTTTTGCACTGCATCTGTTAAAAACACCATGCAGCCCTCAGCATATACTTGACTTACTCTTTCCAGCGGACAATCTTTATAGCATAATACTTTTGTAGCAGCTTTTGTCTTGCTTTGTAAACACGACCAAAGGCTCCTTTGCCGAGACACTCTATGGAGTCAAATTCTGATGTAAACCTGTTGAGATTAACACAAGTATTGATGAATCAAAAAGCTGAAAACAAAAATACCTTGCTGATTGTATATGAACATGGGAGAACTAAAGCATGCTGATATTATAATTTTCCATACCTTGATGCTGCTGACTTGGCTGGTTTTTTCACACTCGAACTGTTCTCTGTATTCTTGCCATTGAAATTGGGTATTATATCCTTAATTAAGAAAATAAATTATGATATAGAGATTAAAATGTTACAACAAAAAAACTATAAAACAAACATGACTGCTATCCTCATACTCTACCTCTTTGCTGCTTCTGTGGGCATTTTGGAAATTTGCTGCAAGTCTAGCAAGACAAAAAAAAAAATCTAAATCAGCTATAATAACCAGGTCATCTGCATTGATTTTCCTGTCATCCACAAGACTTGTGCTCCTCGCCATGTTCTTGTCTTCCTGTGTGCACCTACTTTTAAAGAACTGTTGATTTTTTATTTCAAATTGAATGTGCTGAAATACAGAGCCTAAAGAACAACATGGTGCAACTGCCCTAATGGTCTGAACTGTAGGATTCAAAAGGTGGCTTACCTTATTTTTGGCTTTACATCGGGTGTTTGATCCTTTGTAACGGGAAGTAGGAAAATACAGAAAATTGTATTTAATATATATTTAAAATCCATTATATTAGGGAAGAGGCCAAGTCCTCCTTTAATTCTCACTAATCTAAAGAGCTCAGGGTATAATACAAAAGTGTGAACTGATTAAGAGGTGTGCTGAGAAGTATACTACTGTACATCATGGTCACTTTCTGGAACTGGAAAAATCATGGCCAGTTAGATAAAACTGTTTTTACATAAAAGGGAAATTAAAACAAAATGCAGTAGCATGAGATTTACAAACTGATGAGCCAAAAAACAGACCTGATCCTTTGGAGGTTTGGGATCATTTGTAGCTGGCGACTTGCTTTTCAACTGTCTATCATGGGACACCCTTGGAGAAAACAATGAGACACATTAGTAGAATATTCTCAGTAATAATCTCTAACATGTGTTATACTCCCCAGTGAACGCCTTACGGTGTGCTTGGTGGTGTAGATAGCTTGACTTGTGCTTCATTAGACACAGATGAACAGAAAGTTACCTGAAAGCACAAACGAAGTGTAGCATTAACTGCAGTAACCAATTATCTCTGACATGGAGTGCAACATTACTGTAATATCATTAGATATTTTTTAAAACCCCAACTGTGAGTTCTTTACAACAGTCAAATATTTCATTATATAGTAACATTTTATTGATAACATCAAATTCAAGTTATTCTATTGTATAGAACAGTGCTTCCCAGTCTTTTTAAAACCATGGCACCTAGTCATACAGATCTATTTACAATTACATTATCTGGGTTGCATTTGAATTAATTGAAATTAATGACATGTCGTTCAAACCTGGTTTGAACATGATTTTTAGTAAAAGTGACAGCCCTAATATGGCTCACATGACTCTTAACAATGGTGCTGGTATCCCATACTCCTGCAGTACCTCCTACAATACATCCTCAGGTCCCACTTTTTAAAAACAGGGATGTGCTGTCACTCTCAGCAACTATGCTAACGTATAATATGTGACACAAACTGTGAAAATATTTTGATTTGATGTTTTATAGTAAAGAATGAATAGACAGCCATGGTTTGTGGAACAGAAAACTGATGGTTAGATAAAAGTCTCAGCAAAAATATTCAGTGGACCTGTTAATCAAGTTATGCTAATATTTAATATCAAAGGATCAGAAAATATTTAATACCTTACTGTCCCAGTCTGACTGTTCTTGAAGAGCAGACCAGGCCAGCTGAGCTGCATTTTGTTTGGCTTCTTTGACACTCTTCCCCTCACCCACAGGGTATTCCTTGTTGTTGATCACTAGTTTGTAGAAAAATCTGTGTTGGGTTTTGTAAAAGATTAAATAGTTTAGATCACCATGGTAACATTTTAATATTACAGCCATTTGAACATTATTCAAGAGTTAACACAAAGTGGCTGTACATGTTGTTCAACTAAATAAACATTCATACTTACAGAGGGTTATGAGCAGGACCACATCTCTTCTCTTCAGTGAATGCATGTAAGCGGCTTGTCTTCTGACAGTAGTGGTTGACCAATCCTATGAAATTTGATTCTGTAAGGTTTTTGCCTTCTGTCTTTGCACTCAAGCTTTTTATCTTATCACTGTAATACCAAAACAAAAGGGATAAATGAAAAACTTTAAGAACCAAACTGAATCAAAGGAATCACAGTGAAACAGTATGTTGCCACAGTTGGTACTCACCAGATATCTGGCACATGTTGATTCACTTCCTTCTGTTGCTGACTTGATCCACCACTGCATTTCCCATCTCCAGTCTTGAAAACAAAAATTATAATTTTATTTAGGATTTACTGACTCAAATGTGTCCTTTGTAACATTTAAATAATCCACTAGAACATTCATGACAATATTACACTCGCTGACAAGCACTTTAATTCCTTCCCTATGCACTTTTTCAATACTTTAATTAAACCAGGAGAAACAGGTGTGTATTACTACTTACCTCTGGAGTTTTACTGCCACATATCTCATGATAAACAAGCTTTGCTGCCTCCTCCTTAGCTTCCTTCCTTGTTTTCCCAAAGGCAGCTGGATACTCCTTATCACCAACCACAAAGCTACAGCCTCTACAAATTATACAAAGGTTATTTGATGCCTTTTAAATGATGGCTAAACAACTAAGAATGAATTAGGATACACTGTAGAGGCTTACAGAACAGCATTATCTGGTCCCAGTCTGGTTGACTCCACAGGTCTTACAGTCACCCTGTTCTTCTGACCATACTCATTGAGCCAACATATATAGTTAATATTACTGACACTTGTCTGATGAACTGGTGAAGTGGAAGCCTCTGTTGCATTTTCTGTCTGTCAAGATAATAACACATGCATGAAGGATGCATATGACCTGAATTGGTCTATACTTTTCAAAACAAAACCTGACACACGATGTAAGTTAATAAAGAGGTGTAATAATCTTACAAAGGCAGCTGGCTCCTCCAACAAGCCTCTGAGGGCATTTTTAGCAGCGTTCTGTTTGGCTTCCTTCTTGTTCTTCCCAACACCATCAGGATACACTTTACCATTCAGGACAGCTCTTAAGGTAAATCTGAGAAGAAAGTATAAGACCTTTTTTAAACACATAAGATGAAACAAGAGTAATGGGAGGTTGCATTACAGTGAATCTGTACTCATCCCCAAATGTGAAGTTATTAACTTGACATAATGCTGTTGGACCCCTTATGCCCTCATCTGGAAACTAGAGGGGTTAGAAGTATGATCATTCTATACCGAATAGCCTGAAAGCAACATATAGAATAAACATTTTCTAATTTAAAAGTTCCAGACTTGACATAATGTTAGAGCCCTATAGGCCCTCATCTGGAAATTAGATGTAATGTGCATCTACTCCTGTATCCTCCCATTCAACAGGGGCTTGTCTTATTATTGTCTTCAAATCCTACAGTCGCACACGCATGACTTTGCAGGTCGTATATCCCAGCAGACTACTAATTCAACTCACGTTTTAATGTGGTCAGGGCCAGCAGATCCAACGTCCTCATACCTCACCTCCAAGCGTGTTTTCTGTGCATACTCGTTTAATTTAGCTACGTAGTTGTCGTAGTCCATTGCTATTATTCAGCAGTCTGGCTGGCTACTCAAATTACATAAAAACATAAAACTAAGTGTAGATCTTAGAATAATATCAAACATCTTTTCCATTTACATCTCAAATCTACTCCCATGTCATCGTAACGTTGGGCCCACTTTTGATTCAGTCTTTACCCACATTAAGTTTCGTTTTCTCGGTAAACGTCACACATGGTGCCTTCAAATGATGTCTGAAATATCAAAACTGGTTAGGCTAACATATCCCTCAGACATAGCCTACACAGACTTAAACCAGCTGTAAGCTATAGCCATCACCATGGATAAGATGTAATCATAGAGTGTAACGCTGAACAAAGTACATGGGAAAGGTGTGTGTGTGTGTTTTAAATATAATTACGAAAGGTAGATAATTTTAAATATATTAAAGAAATATTTGTTATAATCTGCAATAATCAAGTGTTTACATATAAAAAAACAAATTTGAATATATCCAGCTATCCTGTGTCATAAATACATGTCTGGGATGTGTAAGAAACCAAACTATTAAAAATAATCGACGATACCTCCTTCATACACATCAGGAGGTGCGGCTTCCCTGTACCAACATGGCGACCGCGTTGACGCATTGTCAAAATGAACAGTAGTGGCTCATGCGGTGCCTACGGGAGTGGTGTGTTCTTTCTAGGCGCAGTTAGATATTAAGTTAAGCACTCTTGACTCTTTCAGTTCTTTTGACGGATATCTATATTTTAACTAAAGTATACTTTAAATATGTGTAGTTTAGTAAAGTGCGTGCTTTGCTACTCATCTTGACAAAAGGCATACAGTGGGTACAGAAAGTATTCAGACCCCCTTAAATTTTTCACTCTTTGTTATATTGCAGCCATATGCTAAAATCATTTAAGTTCATTTTTTTCCTCATTAATGTACACACAGCACCCCATATTGACAGAAAAACACAGAATGTTTGACATTTTTGCAGATTTATTAAAAAAGAAAAACTGAAATATCACATGGTCATAAGTATTCAGACCCTTTGCTCAGTATTTAGTAGAAGCACCCTGTTGAGCTAATACAGCCATGAGTCTTTTTAGGAATGATGCAACAAGTTTTTCACACCTGCATTTGGGGATCCTCTGCCATTCCTCCTTGCAGATCCTCTCCAGTTCTGTCAGGTTGGATGGTAAACATTGGTGGACAGCCATTTTCAGGTCTCTCCAGAGATGCTCAATTGGGTTTAAGTCAGGGCTCTGGCTGGACCATTCAAGAACAGTCACGGAGTTATTGTGAAGCCGCTCCTTCGTTATTTTAGCTGTGTGCTTAGGGTCATTGTCTTGTTGGAAGGTGAACCTTCGGCCCAGCCTGAGGTCCTGAGCACTCTGGAGAAGGTTTTCGTCCAGGATATCCCTGTACTTGGCCACATTCATCCTTCCCTCGATTGCAACCAGTCGTCCTGTCCCTGCAGCTGAAAAACACCCCCATAGCATGATGCTGCCACCACCATGCTTCACTGTTGGGACTGTATTGGACAGGTGATGAGCAGTGCCTGGTTTTCTCCACACATACCGCTTAGAATTAAGGCCAAAAAGTTCTATCTTGGTCTCATCAGACCAGAGAATCTTATTTCTCACCATCTTGGAGTCCTTCAGGTGTTTTTTAGCAAACTCCATGCGGACTTTCATGTGTCTTGC